CAATAGGGATACAGGGATACCCCTGACCATTTGACGCATAAATTGCTACAATCCGATCAACAAAAGAGACAATTTTATAGCTCACAGGAGATCAGGAGATTCTCCAGCAGACTCTCAGATCTGACCTGAGAGTGACCGAAGGACCCTTCCCTTTTCCCTCGCATTCCAAAGGAAAGATATGTCTTAGATATATATACTTGATGTGTTCATTTAATCGGTGCAACGTTAAGCAGTGTTTATTAAAAAATGTGTAATATGTGAAGTTTAATCTTGAACGAATGGAAACCACAAATGCAGAATGCTGAAATGAAGTAAACTTTAATAGTATGTACAATGCTTGCTTTTAAGAGACTTTATATGAGTATTAACACAACTTTTATAGATGGTGTCCTCATGTGATGAATTAAAGCCTCTTGTTAATGTATGCACGCTCCGCCCCGCAAGAAGTCGATTGGAAGCCAGCGTCAGGGGACGGACTTATGCCACAGAGCAAAACCCCAATGCAGGACAGACTCCTTGCTTGCTTGCGGCTTCTCCTGCTCTCACCTGTCGCTGTGTTAGAGCACCCCACGTGTGCTCACACGCTTACCATCAAAAGCGACCAGCCATCTAAAACTCAACACTTCAGTGATACTTAATTGAAATCGTCAACGAACTTAAAAGTCTGGCACACTAAGACTTTCGGCAGAACTGCTCAAGCCTCTGCTTCATCACAGACAAACCAATCCAAGAGGGGTTTCCCAAAGGACGTAATTTCGACGTCACCGACCAATCAGTAACGGGGTTTCCCTCAAAGACCTCCAGGAAGCCCGCATCAGCCACGGAGTCACCTCAGCTGTCAACCAGCAGAACGCAAGTAAACAAACAACTCTCTAATCTGCTGAACTGGTGAATTTAAATTCTCTGCTCTGTGAATTCTTAAGGTGAATTTGCATCACTCGTGAAAACGAGGTAGAACTATGAAACTCAGAACTCCGTTAACAGAATTTCCTTCCTCTGAACTGTATGTGTGTTTAGCTTAAGTTTATGTAATCTAGAATAGCCAATAAATTTCATGTTTCATTTATAAATACTCGATTGTCTGGTGTTATATAATTTCAAGGTTAAATCTATTTGCCAAAAGATCCCTTGCTACTTAGCTCGTAGCTTACTTATAATAATTACCTCTGTTAAGAGCTTATAAATAATCATAATTGTGTTGACCGTGGCTGTCACGAATCGGGCCTCTGTGGCTCTCTCCGATGGCCTCCGGAGGGCACCCTCTCCCGAGTACTAATGTTCATGGACTACATTTCCCAGACACCCCGTACCTGGGGCTGATTACGGCACAGGTTTTCCCCCTTAGCTTCCCTATTTCAGCAGCTCCCAGTCTCTCTCTGTTTGCGAAGTCTTGTATTGCCCCGGCTACATTTCTGAGCGTTTATCCCCTTTCTTGTCATCTCTTGTGTATTACCTCGGACTGTTCTTACTAGTGTGATTCTCTGCCGCCTGCCCCGACCCTCGCTTTGCCGCTGTTTATTCCCTTGGATTACCCCTGCTGTACGTGACGCTGTTGACTGAATACTGCCTGTTTTACTCTGCCTGTTATTCTAATAAAAGCTGCAAATGGATCCGCACGCCTCTGACTCAGTGTTACAGAAGACTTCGCCCCACACGGAACCAGCAGCGATTTATCAGCTAACCACCGAGGTTTCTGCCCAGGCCTCCATGTTAGCGTCTCATCAACAACAGCTGCAACGACTCACCTCACTCATTGAGGAGATGGTGAGGACGCTACAGGCCCTTCGCGTCACCATGCCTGAGCCGTGCACTCCTC